GATCTGTGAAAAGATGACCCCACTCCAACTACAAATTAATGGTTATGTTTTAAAAGGCAATGAAAAACAAAACATGTAATGCTTGATGCACTAACATATCCATGAAGACAAGCAGGTGGTGGAAGAAAAAAGTTACACAGTGGCGCTTTAAATAAATTGCAGTTTTTGCAATAATTTATTCATTATGCATATTGACTTCATGCATGTCTTGTTTGATAAGTCCATACTAAAGTTTAGCTGTTTTTTTTTTCACATTAGAATGGTCATTTCATTCAGAAGATGTCATATTACGTAGGATTGTCAAATCAATACCTGATCTTTACCAGATACCAGATCAGATATCAATACTAAAATTATTAGCATGGATGGTATATTTTACATTTTCTATGGTTAGATAATAGGACAAATAGAACAGTAACCTAAATAGACCTGTCATGAAAAATAATTTATCGACTTATTGTTAAATACATGACAGATGAAGCAATACTTTTTGGCAGTCAGTATTTATCGTGGTACTTTTTTGTTGTACTAATTGGAAAATTTTATTTATTTTTAAAACAATATTGTACATTTAGAATCCTTTCTGCTTTATGGTTTGGTTTCAGTATTATCGTTTATCGTCTATATTTACCTCAGCAATATATCAAACCTTTTCTGAATAGTTTTAGATTGGCCTCTCAGTACAAGTGTAAGACCACATACAAATAGACCTACTGTATCAGAAACATCACGATTATTTTGTTTGGGGAAAAAGTTTTAAAATAGTCTAAAAATAGTGTTATGTCTTGTCATTGTGGTATTGAAATCATTACCGAGCATCAGGTGTTTTCCTTAGTATTAAAATTAAGTCTGAAATCTTTTTTTATCTTTTTTATTTTGAATTCATATAAAACAAAAACAAAAAACACACACACTCAAAAAAACTCTTTCCATACTCATGAAATTTTTGATATCTTGATAACAAATTAGCTCAATACCTGTTCAATTTGCTATGAAAGACCACTGAAATTTCTCTTTTGATGCAATTCCGAATTTGTGATGAATCTTACAGGGCTGAATTGAGTTTGCGTTTTTGGACACGCTGGTGTTTGGACTCATGTTTATCCATTGCCAGTTGGTGTGGTTCATTGGGTTGTGTTTGTTTAAAGTGCGCGTCATGCTGAGCTGTGTGTGATAAGAGGAAACACAGCGGAGGAGTGTCACTGCTGATACAGACTTAACCTGTCATCAACAAACTCTCCATCGCTCCACGGGGGCGGAGAACAGATGTGAAGATGAATTTTGATTTTCGAGTTCATACAATGGGTGTTTCTTTATTTTTTCATATTTAAAAGTACATTTTGTAAGTCTTCTGTTGGAGATGTTATTGCTTTGGCTGGAATTTTTCATAGTATGGCATTAAACCTTTCTATCTTTGTGGAGACCAAACCAGACCAAGTTACAAGTCAGATCTGTAGAGAGGCAACCCCGCTCACAGTCAGAATGTTTTTCTAGGTATTCTTGAGCAATAAAAGCAATTGAATAAATGTAAAGATGAGCTGTTTAATGTCATACTGTGGAACATTCCAGGCAGAGCAATGACATCTCCATAGAAACAAGCAGGTGACAGACCCTCCACCAGAAAAGTTACACAATGCATCTTTAAAACACGGGACTAACAGACTAATCTTAAAGGTCGAATATTATGCAAGTTTGACTCTTGTGAGCTTTCAGTCAAGTTATAATGTTTATCAGAAACATTCCTGGAGTTGTATTTTGTTTGAGTAACTCTGTATTATGTCTGTCTACATCCCCAAAGCTCAAAATGCTCTGTTCCACCTTGTGATGTCATGTAGTGGTTTAAATTTCAAGTTAGCGGCTACGTTTTACCTTTAGATCAGAAAAGATTGGCAGTTCTGAAATCATCCAAATGATTTCGGAGCGTGTTCCGATTAAGAAAAGCGCTCAGGGTTTGTGTGTTAAACATGTGTGAATGAAAACAAAAAACTAAACTCCAGCAAAATTTTTGATGAGGAAACCATTTTATTACATAGATCAGAAAATAGTGTAATATGGGCCCTTTAAATATGTGTTGCTTGGGTTTTAGCGCAGGAAAAGTGTTGAGTTGTAAACAGTGTAATTTTCTCTCTTTTATCTAACAGTTGACTACAAAATCACTACTATTACACTTTCACTGTCTAGAAAACAGCTCATCTAACACAGCTTTCAACCACGGGCAAAAGTTTGGTTAAAAACCCAGAGACAGGGGGCATCCGGATTTGAACCGGAGACCTCTTGATCTGCAGTCAAATGCTCTACCACTGAGCTATACCCCCATGTCCAAAAGTAGCAGTGTTAGCTTAGGTCAGATGTTGCCAGTTAAAGTGTGTATGATAGGTCAGACTATTTTATTAAAACAGTTAAGTTATTATGTTTTACACAAATATTCATGTATTTGGCAGTTTTTTAGGTTTTATTTTGTGGACAGAAATCGTGACATCACACTCGGGAATTCCACAACTGTTATCTAGCAAAACTCCTCTAATGTACACAGAAATTCTCGGACAAGTGCAACACCTTTATTTTGTTCAATTTATGTATTTCTTATGTGTAAATTGACTTTAAACTTTTGGATAAAATTCTCCCTAGTCATACTCACTTTAAAAGTATGTTACTGCATATTGAGTTTAAACGTATACTGTGTAACATTTCTGGTGCAGGTTCCGTCAAATGCTTTATTTCTTGGAGATGTTATTGCTTTGTCTGGAATGTTCCACAAAGTGACATTACAGGTTGTTTTATAGCACAAAAATATCTACAAAAACAGGCATTCTGACTGTGAGCAGGACTGCCTCTCCACAGACCTAACCCGTAAATTGGTCTGGTTTGGTCTCCATGAAGATAGAAAGGTTTAACATTCCAGACAAAGCAATAACATCTCTATGAAGAAAAGAATTTGACAGACTCTCCACCAGAAAAGTTACACAATGCACCTTTAAAAATAACATTCTGTTTTATTACATGGCTCTGCTATGAGAAACTGTGGTTGTGTTTTTTGCCCTGTTAAGTGTTTTGAATTTGACAGTTATAATATTTTTAATAGCTTATCCACTGATGATTGACGAGAGACGTGGTAATGTGTACCGGTAGTTTGTGAATAGGTGAAAACTACTAAAGCTGCTTGTTTCTTGTCTTGAATCTAAATTAAAGATGCACTATGTAATTTTTCTGGTTAGGGGTCTGCCACTTGCTTGCTGACAGCACCAGCCCAAGTTATATGTCAGATCTGTGCAGATATGACCCTGCTCTCTAAGAATACTTATTTTTCAGGGCATTTATGAATAATAAAGACTAATTGAATAAATGCAAGATAGACATGTTTAATGTCATACTGTGGAACATTTCAGGCAAAGCAATAACATCTCCATGGAGGCAAGAAGTTAAACAGCACCATCAACTATGAATTCAGCATCCTATTAAATAGCAGAAAATTACTATTTTAATCAATTTGCTTTATTTCAGTATCCTTTTATATGGTGCCATTTTGAGGACATTTCCCCATTCTTAAGATAATATTTGGTTTTATATCATTAATTGCTATGGCAACAGTTCTAATTGTTCATCATTCTGAAACCCATGCACAGGGAAGACATCTCAGAAACACAAACATATAGTACATCAGGATTTGAACCAGAGACCTGCAGAGACGGCAGTCAGTGCTACACCCCCTTGTCTAGTGTTGATTTGATCTTTAAGTGTCAACAAACTGTCTCGTACCCATCACCTTTACCCATGATCCTCCTCTGCCTCCAATAAAACCAGCTGCTGTGCCTGTTTTTCCCACCAACATACACACAGCACAGCCAGCCTTTCCTGATTGCAAACTAATGCGATTAGACGGCATTGCGTAACCATGGCGACGCGGACGGGTGGGCTGATGGGTAATTTGATGTGTGTGCCCTGGTCCCGGCCCGGATAGACCATTCGCCAGGGGTCGGCCAATCACATTACAGAGCCCCAGTTTGCATCAAAACATGAGAAATGACCAGTAATAAATGGTGATTATGGAGTCAATGGGACAGAGACAGGAAGTGTGGGTCTATGGACTTCCTCTGTGGCATTTTATGGCCTCTGGATCTGTATCTCTATTTAGGAAACCAATGAGCTGATTTATGGCTGTAAATGTCAGTTTGAGAGAAGAGGGGCCAGTAGACAGATTTAGCATGTTAGCCTGATTAAAGGGTTTATATTACACTTTTTTTGTTTTGTTTTTTGTTTAGTTTTTTTTAACTCTGCATATTTAGGCTGAGTTCTTCTCTCAAATGGAAAACATTCAGTTCTACCTTGTGATGTCATGAGGGAATACAGCAAGTGCTCCACTGTGTTTTTAAACTCCATACACCTTCACTAGAACCATTTGGATGATTTCAGCTTAGGAATTGCCACTCTCTACTAAACAAAAGGTAATAGGTAGCTGCTAACTTGAAAACTACCAGTTCATCACATCAAGGTTCATAACAAGGTAGAACAGAGCATTTTGAGCTTCTGAGATGTAGACAAAATAATAATAAAGGATTACTGAAAATGCATGATTGAAACAAAACACAAGTCCATCTGTGTTTTTAGGAGGTAACATGCTAATTTGTAAAGCTCAATTTTGTGTAATATAGGACTTTAATTATCTTTTTTCTTTTTTTTTCTGATTTTAGTTCTGCATGTCTTTTGTCACTTCTCCTGGTTTAGATTTGATAGTCTCACGATTTAATTATGAGTAAGGTTAGAGATGGTTTACACCAGTGATATCAGTCAGATGGCTTAAAAACTCCTTATAGGTTCCTAATTAAACCAGGTCTCATCCTGGTGAACAGATATTTTCTGAGGTAGGATTTGGGCTCATTTATTTGGAGGAGTGTGTTCCTAGTTAACTAGCACGACTGCATCTGAATAACTTTCTGTGTGGACTTGTCAACAATGAATAAAATCAAATCTTAATGTTGTTCCTCCATCTGGTTTGTCCTCAGGGTAAATACGCCAAGAGGAAGAGCCGGTTCAAGCGCTCGGATGGGAGCACCTCGTCTGACACCACGTCCAACAGCTTTGTCCGACAGGTAAAAAAATTACTCAAAATCTAGACAGGATGCTTGGACTTTTGCTAATAATTATGTTACAGTATCTTGTCACAATATTAGATTTTTTGGATTTAATTGGATTTTAAACATATCTATATCTACTACCACATGTTAGTTTATTTTTGTCATGCAGCAAAACATCAGTAAGAATGTAGTGTTGCTAGGCTTTTTACATATTTGTGAATTCAACCATGGTGTTTTTATGGTCTTAAAGACCCTGAACCTGATTTTTCTTGTCTTAAAAATGGAAAAAAATAGTTCTTTTTAAGCATTTTGCAATGGTCTAAAGTTTTTCCTCACTTTTCTTATGCATTCTGAGCATAGTAATTTGTCGCTGTGGTGAGTTTATAAGCGCTCATCATAACTCTCAGAGACCAGTGCCTTGAGAGTAAAGTTAACAACAACTAGCATGCTAACCTGCACTATAAAGCACTTACTATTTAGCTTCAGACAGCACACAGCAGACTTATTTTGACCTAAAGCGTACAGGTACAGGTGTACAGGGCCTTATATTTCTTCTTATAAAAAACATACATCTCTACCAGAGACTGCTTTGCTAGTCCAGGTGATTTATTTGTCTCTCTTAATGTTTAATGAGTTGATCTCTTGTCTAACACTTTAGTGCTCCTCCTGCTGCCCACACAGTTACAAGACCACTTAAGTTTAATTAAACTCCCTTTATCTGCAGCCTGGTTAATTATATTCCCACTTGGGGAAAAGGCCTGAGGAACTTTGATGGAATTCTTATGCTGTGAAATGAATGAGGTTAGGTCTGTTTGTGTAATATTGACAAAATAGAATATATTGATTAGTTAAAATTATTTTAATTCAGAATGTAATCAGAAGAAATCTGAACTAACTTGAATGAGAATAATTTAGGTGTATACCAAAATAAAGCAAAAATATACAACAATTTTAGATTTTTAACGTTTCTTGTAACTGGTCATGCCACCTTCTTGTTTCCATTGAGCTGCTAATGATTTGTCGGGAATGTTTCACAGTTTGGCATCATTAAACGTGTTTCATTTGTTTAATTACAGTTGTTTTTATTGATGAACACCATGGAAAACGTGTATTTTTTCTGTGAACTTTACTCTCAACAGATCTGACCTGTAACCTGGTCCTGTCACCTACTTGTCTCCATAAGAATAGACACATTTAATGCCATACTGTGGGAGATTTCAGGCAAAGCAATAACATCTCCATGGAGATGAGCAGGTGGCAGAATATCTACCCGAAAAAGTATCTTGAGTTTCAGTACTGTGTCGGTCTATATTTGTATCCGTGATGGGCCGAGATCATTTGATTCATTGATTATTTGTGTGAAGTTAGTTGTGATTTATAACTACTCATTTCAAGCTAGAATTTGCATTTGAATTAGTACACATTATTTATTTATTTATTTATTTATTTTTCAACACTGGATGTATGTGGGGTAAAATTTCTCAGGAAGGGCATCTGGCTTCTTTGGATGTTTTAGTTGGTCCTGTCTTGTGAAGTACAGAGCCTACTTCTCAATTGCTGTGCTGTTTGTTTTCTAATGGCTGACCAAAGAGCTCTGAAAGCAAATAAACATTGAATTTATCTCCTTTATAAATCACCATAGCTGCATTTTGAGCTTTTAGTTTTCAGATAAAGGTGCACTGTGTAACACCGTCTCCATGGAAATTTTCACTTTGGTTTAAATTGTCCACAGTATGGTATTAAACAAATCTGCCTGTTATTTACTGCTCAAAAAGATCTTTAAAAGACATTCATTCTTACTGTGAGCAGGTTTGCCTCTCCACAAGCCTCACCTGTAATTTGGCTCATAGGTCCATGGCCATACTGCGGAACATTATGGGCACATTTGCACAGAGACATCAAGAGGTGCACCTAATTTTAGGATAGTTTTAGTCTATATTTATACCTGATCATTGTAATTCTTTATATGCAAAAGTAAAATCTGATTCTTGACATTTTGAGAGCTTTAGTCTGGTTTGTGTGTTTAGCCCCATGTTTTTGCAGTTGTGGAGGATGTCTTGTTTGTGTTCACCCGGCCCACACGCCGCTCTGTCTCTCACACATTGAAATGGCTTTGATATCACCACAATAATAACTGTGCACCTTTGGGACCACACAGGACTCTACTCTGAAAATCTGTTACGGGAGCATGGGACAGTGCATGTAATGGGATATGAAAGCATTTAAATTAGGATTGTGTTGAAACCTGCTGGCTTCTATGGTGATTTTTGCACCGTTTTTGTAAAATGCTGGGGTTTTGTGCCACCTGCTTGCCTCCATTGTGAGGTTATTGATTTGTCTTGCAAGGTTCCACAGTATGACATTAAAATTATCTTGTTATTGTGTTTAAAAATACCTTGAAAACATGGATTCTTGCTGTGAGCGGTGTCATCTCTCCCGTGAGGATATAGCTTTATCTTGGAAGGTTCCACAGTATGACAGTAATCTACCCTGCATTTATTCAACAGGTGTTTTAATGTCTTAGAAATTTCTTCAAATCCCAAATCCAAATCCACTTTATTTACATAGCACATTTTACACACAAAGCAGTTTCCAAAGTGCTGCACAGAGACCAGAAAATGAAGAAAACAAAAAGGTAAATTTTTAAAATTTGGAAAAAACTGTAAAATCCAAATAAAAGCAAAAACCATAAAAATCATAAAATAGCAGTAAATAAGTAAAATAAATAAAATAAATAAAAGACACAGAGGACCACACAACTCATGTGGTATTAAAAGACAGAGAATAAAAATGGGTTTTAAGACAAGACTTAAAACTCTCCACTGTGGGGGCTGTTCAGACATCAAGGGCAGAGCTTAGGGCTGACCACAGAAAAGGCCCTATCCCCATGGTTTTAAGTCTCGAGCTGGAGCTGGCCCTCAGACCTCAAAGCATGCGCGGGAGTGTAAATTTGGATGAGGTCCGAGACGTATTGTGGGGCCCGTCCATTCAAAGCTTTAAAAACAAACAATAAAATCTCTAAAGCAAACCAGCCAGTGCAATCACGCTAAAATCGGAGTAATGTGCACCTTCAAAAATGCTTTCTTACTGTGAGTAGGGTCACCTCGCCGCAGATCTGACGTATCTGTATCTGAGTCTGCGATTGCCACCTGATTGTCTCCATGCAGATGCATAAGCTCAGTGCCATATTATGGAACGCTCCAGTCAAAGCACTAACATCCCCATGGAGACAAGCAGATTTTGATGGTTATATTGTTTTGTATGCTTGTCTCATCTGTCATTAAGCAGAGATGATTAAGAGATTAAACTGAGATGGTTGCACTTTTTTGGTTGTGTTAAAAAAAAAAAAATCTCCAGGAATATCTACATTTTGATTGTTTTGGTGGGTATTAATTATGACTCAATGACATGACAGAATAAAAAAAAAAACAACTGCAGTTACTGGTTACAACAACATACAGTATTACAAGTGAATCAAACTTTTTTACACACTGACCAAAGTGAAGGAACAAAGATTGAATATAATGTATATAAAGTATAAAAAGCATCAAATGGATACCAAGAGATTAAGAAGTGAAATTTCCAGGTACAAGATAAGCCCGTATCATAACTTAAAGACTAACTGACTTCTCTTTGATTTCTCTATCTCTGATCTACTGTCACAGGTACAATTGTATTTCACACTGCACTTTTCTGCTCTGACATTTATAAAGCCAAGCGGTGTCACCGTCAAAAGTGTCCCCCCCTTTTTCTGTCTGACCTCTTCATTTGTGAGAGGAAATGATTTGCCCTTCGCTCACTGACCTTTCGTCTCTCCTGCGTGGTGTCTTTATGGAGCAGAAAAGTCGAAAATACTGGTTGTTGATGCACAGGGGGCGCCATCGTCTCCTGCGGTTTGCAAAGGTTAGATCAGCCTCTGCATTACCCTTGGGTTTAGATTGGATTAGTTCATATATTAGACCTCCATGAATCTTTCCATAGCATAACATTTTGTAAAGTAATTAAACAACAGGTCATTTAAAGGTGCACTGTGTAACTTTTCTGGCTGAGGTTCCGCCACGTGCTAAATATGACAGTCAATTTAAAGGGCCCATATTACGTTATTTTCTGGTCTATTTTATAATGTTGTTTCTTCATCGTAAACATACTCAGAGTTGTGTTTTGTTTCATTCACACATTTTTAAGACACAAACCCTGCATATTTAGGCTGAGTTCTTCTCTCAAACAAAAAACACTCTGTTCCACCTTGTGATGTAATGTGGTAATACAGGAAGTGCTCCAATGTGTTTTTAAACTCCACTCACCTTCACTAGAATAATTTGAATGATTTCTGCCTTTCGAATTGCCAATCTCTACTGAAGAAAAGGTAAAAAAGCAGCTGTTAACTTAAAAACTACCATTTTATGACATCACAAGGTTGAACGGAGCATGTTAAGCTTTGGAAATGTTGACAGACTAATAATGCATTGTTACTCAAACGTGTGAATGAAACAAAACACAACTCCAGGTATGTTTTTGATTCTAACATGGCTTAAAGCTCACAGCAGTCAATTTTACATAATATAGGATCTTTAAAACATAAATCACGGATCTAATCGCAATCACAATACTCATCAGAAAAATTGCAGTCATTTCTTTCACAGATCGTCACCTTAACGCTAACTGAATATCCATTTTGTGTACAAATACAAGCCCAAACTCTATAAGAAAGTTTGCCTGTTTGTTTGGCCAGCCTAGGCTATCACCCTCACAGTAGGAAACTCATTACTTTAAATGGCGAGTTACTTACTAAGACAGATGCCCTTGTCTTCTAAAGCTGTAGTGATTTTCCTTGTGGTGACCTGAACTGCATCCTAAACAGTCCAAATGGCTTTTATTTTATTATACTCAAATTGTTGTAAGTAGCAACTATTTGTCATAATACTAAAACTTCAAACTCGATTTTGTTACTAAGGAATAGACTTGATACTCAGCCCTGATTCTGATACCACAATGATAAAAAAAAAAAAAAAAAA